GAAACATTTAGGAACTAGAGGAAAGTTGTATTTTTCATCATTGTTATATCGCGCACCCTGACTGGCCATCTCTATTTGAACCTTTTGTATCAGCTCCTCATTTTTCCCCTCCCGCTCCCTTCCTACCCTCTTGGTCCTTTCATAAATTATAAATTATTATTATTTTCATATTTTACACTGACTATTATCTCCCTTCCCCCTGGGAATGGGGGTGGGGTGGGGCATTACTTTTCAATTCCGTTTTTCCACAAACTTTTGAAGCCCCGCATCTAGTTTGTGAATTTTCTCAACCTTTAATTCTGATTATTTTGAAATATACATAAAAAGAGGATAGCAAACCTTAACATACCTATCACTAGATTGAATAATTGTTAATATCACCTGAAGTAAACCCAATATTATGCACATGTCTCCCTTATTTCTACATACATTTTCTAAATGACACTATTGCATAAACACAGTAACATTATCACACCTAATAAAAATAAACAATACTCCTTTATTAATTCATCTGGTTTACACTTCAAGTTTAAATACCCCAAATGTCTTCTTACATCAGATTGTTTGTTGTATAGTCACATAAGTACTCCCCCCATTCCCTTTGGTAAATGAGATCAATTTATGGGCATGAAATTGTAAGCACCTTGCAGTCCCTAAGGACAGGGTGCAAAAAGACCGTAGTGTGGCCTTTAGCACCAGACAGCTTACCAGCTGCTACTGAGGGAGCCTTCAGGAGCCTAAATGACAGACATTTGGCAAAACCGCCCGGAGCAATCTGGTACACCATCGGGGGATGGTGTTATTTCTGTAGATTAGCAGCCCCTGGCAGGCTCTGGTTTAGGGGCGAATTAGGAGGTGGTGGCTTTGGAAGAACCAAGGCCTAAGAGGTCACCTGTGGAGATTGACCTTTACTTGAAACCTTTGTAGCTGTTTCTTCTCTCCTCTCTCCCGCCCCCTCCTTCAGGAGTTCTTCTGAACTGGCCTTTTGCAATTTGAGTTTCCCTATTTCCACAGGTGCGCTGCATCACCAGGTGGAGCTTTGGATCGCGATTGAATCGTTTGCACTGTACCTGCCTACACCTGGGAAGCTCCCTGGGGGCCTCAAGGTCCATTTCCTACCTCGGAGCCCTCCGGAGCCCTTGCCCACGTGGGGCT